TCCTTGTTCGACAACACAGCGTTTTGTTGTTGTTTTATGAAGCAAATCGGGAGGAAATTATTTCCACCAAAAGACTTTTTATTGATTTATTTTTTTCATGTGAGTAGAGAAACACTGTCAAGTTCTGATATGACAGCCTTATTTTACAAGCTAATTGTCTCAGTAACATGCAAAACCAAACCAATGCCTGTCTGCTCTTTATCATCAATAAATGCTCGAATTTGCGTCACAGATTATGAAACATTTTGGGATTTATTTGGGTCATGATTTGAGAGCTTGCGTTAGGGTATAAAAAAAAAAAAAAAATCAGCTGACGAATCGGAACGGTGAAACTGTTTGGGGAAAGACTGCGACAATGGGGTTGATTTGAAAATCTTATTCAGAATAACAAATGCGACCAGAGGAGAATAGTTATTCCTTGTTCGACAGACAACACGGCGTTTTGTTGTTGTTTCATGAAGCAAATCGGGAGGAAATTATTTCCACCCAGAAGACTTTTTACAATTTTTTTAAAAAAATTTTTATGTGAGTAAAGAAACACTGTCAAGTTCTGATATGACGGCCTTATTTTACAAGCTAATTGTCTCAGTAACATGCAAAACCAAACCAATGCCTGTCTGCTCTTTATCATCAATAAATGCTCGAATTTGCGTCACAGATTATGAAACATTTTGGGATTTATTCGGGTTTATTCGGGTTTATTCATGATTTGAGAGCTTGCGTTCGGGTGTTGAATTGGAGTTTTGGGTTAAGTTAGGGTTTGGGCAGGCAGTTGGATTTTTGGTTAGGATGTTGGAGTTGGAGTGTTGGTTACTTTTAGAGTAGGATTTTGGTTAGGGTTGTTTGGTTTGGTCTTTCGGGTGTCATAGTTTGTGTAAATGAAGGGTTTTGCTTTTGATTAGGTTTTTTTTCTTAGGATTTAAGTTGTTGCTCAGGGGTTTTGATCAAAGTTTTTATTTGGGTTTGAGGTATGATTATTGTGTTTGGGTTAGCAGCTTGGTTAGGTGGTTAGGGATTTGTTTAGGGCATAGGTGTCAAACTCAGGTCCTGGAGGGCCGCTGCCCTGCATGTTTTCCAAGGCTCCCTGTTGAAACACACCTGATTCAAATGATCAGATCATCAGCAACCTCTGCGGAAGCCTGACATTGAACCTGTTCATTTGAATCAGGTGTGTTGCAACAGTCCGGCCCTCGGCTTGCAGCAAAATTTTTTTATCTGGCCCCTCCAGGACCTGAGTTTGACACCCCTGGTTTAGGGTGTTTGGTTCAGTGCTTGAGCTGGATTGATGGGGGTTAGCGCATCAGGGTGTTAGCAGCTTGGTTAGGTGGTTAGGGATTTGTTTAGGGTGTTTGGTTCAGTGCTTGAGCTAGATTGATGGGGGTTAGCGCATCAGGGTGTCGAGTTTTGGTCAAGGTTTTGTTCGGGTTTTAACCCTTTCAGGGACAGCGGTTACTACAGTGGACAGCTTCTCATGTTACAGGTTATCATTATTGGTGCATGAAAGGGTTAAAGTTAGAATTTGGCTTCTTGTTTAATGGGTTGTGTTTTGATTTGGGTTTATTTGATTAGGGATTATAAATGAGCATTTTCAAACTGAGGTAGTGAGCCCTCGTCCGAATGAGCTCAGTAAAGCATTGGTGGCCTGATCTGTGGTGTTGGAACCATATGAGAGTCTTTAATTAATTGCGCTGCGTGTACTTAATTATTAACTGGAACATCTTTAGTTACTTTGGTCTTCTTTACTCACTGTCAGTTGATCCACTCCCAAGCAAAATAAAGACGTGTCTGTTGAATTCGCAGAAGGTTCCAAGTTCCGTGTTAGCCTTCCAGAATTGACTATGCAGCAACTCCTGTCCTGTTACATAAAGGATTTACGAAACCAAGCAAGCCCGAGAGCAGCGAGCTCCAACCCCCCCAAACAACCTTCAACGGCACATGAACTTCAGCCCGGATGAAGAAAAGTAAACAGCGAAGAGAAATAAAGAGGGTTTTTTTTTTCTTTCCCTTCTCCCACTTCTAGTCCCCCCCCGCATGGGAGGGATATTAGCTGTTTGTGTTTTAAGGAGCTGTGAAATACATAAAGCATGAGCCCCAGGAATGCGAGGCCCTGTGGATATGCAGATGGGCTTACTTTTCTGGTGTCAGAGATGCTTAGAGGAAGCAGGCCCGGGAGGATTTTCTTCGCGGTGCACAGGGACACGACGATGGCAGTCCACAACACTCTAGGGACTCCCAAAGAGAATGGGAGGAGGATGCTGACAGAACCCCCACCCCCCGAAACATGTACTCAGGACTGTATTCTGAGTCTGCCCAGTGCCACCATGCAGCCATGGCTACCACTGATATCTCATACGGGAGTAAAAGGAACTGACTTCAGCCCAATAAGAGAGAAGGGGAAGATCTTGCTAATGTATTTCTAACAAACAGCTGTTTATTTCTTTTACATAATACAAATTACATAAGCCTTTTTAAATATAAACTTGCAAATGGAAGGGCCCGCGGTAACAAAACGTAGTCCACTGTTGGATTCGTTCACTGGGGTGAAATATAGCGGCGTGACACGTGCCCTAAAAGACGGTTGTGTTCTTTGCTGCCTTCTTGCAACTTTGCCTCCATGCACCTGCTCCCAAGCAGACAGACAGACACACACACACACACACACACACACACACACACACACACACACACACACACACACACACACACGTGCGCGCGTCCACGGGTCAGTCGGGCAGGTGCGGAGGTTTTTGCATAATGAAGCAGGGCAGCAGGTCCGACGGGAGCGCGTTGCGCACCGGGGTCAAGCAAAGGGCTGCGCATATGGCAGCGGCATAGATGAGTGAACCCTGCAGCATGCTTGACCTCAGCATACTCCCCAACACACACACACACACACACACGCACACACACACA